ACCTACTAAATCTTACCAATTTTATTTTCTGAATCAGAGAACCCAAGCTATTCCTTTGAGTTAAAAGAGATCATTTTAAGCATATTTCTTAAAATAATTTTATTTGGGGAGGGGGGGGGCTTTAAGTCATAGACCAAGGTCAGCCAGCTAGTTTTGTTCCTAAAATAACTCTAGGACTCACCTGGTTTCTAACCTGGTGCCTTAACCAGAACATCAAACAGGCTCTCTTTGGTTATTTTAATTGCTCTAAAGGGAACATGACATTCATGGCTTATGGCATCCATTCACAATCCGACCTTTCCAAACACATTAGATATAATAGCCACAAACACTAATCAACATGGTTGGAGAAGTTGCAATCCAATGCAATGAGCAAGTCTGATATTAGGAATGAAGTACTAATGGATTGTACTGGCTGTTCATTTATTATTTGATTTATAGGCTGCTCCGTTTAATCACAACTCAAAAGTGGTGGCAGTTTGACCTAAGGAATGAGAACATGACTGTATAGCACTTAACACTTAGACTTATATACCGCTTCATAGTGCTTTTACAGCCCTCTCTAAGCAATTTACAGAGTCAGCATATTGACCTCAACAATCTGAGTCCCCATTTTACCCACCGTAGAAGTTGGAAGGATGGAAGGCTGAGTCAACCTTGAACCTGGTGAGATTAGAACTGCCAAATTGCAGTCAGCCAGCAGTCAACAGAAGTAGCCTGTAGTACTGCCTCCTAACCACTGTGCCACCTCGGCTCTTATGTGTATATATTAATTGTTTCATTATTTTCTTTATTTATCAAATGTATTTTCTATTTGCTTGTCATATTTGAAAAATAATTTTGGAATGGCAATTTTTTAAAGGAAAGGTCCTTTGGGCTCAGTTCAACTTCTAGGTGACTATACCAAAACAGTTTGCCATTGCTTCTTTTAGGATTATTGTCGGTGGTGGTTGTGCTGGTTTTTCAGTCCAGGTTACAACCTTAGAATTTCTAGGGAATGGCTCTTATGCCAATATAACCAAGTTTGACCGCTTCGTCTTCTGATCCCAGACGAAGATAGGAAGACGCTGCCTCACCCCTAGACCAAAACAGGCATACAAGATTGAAAAGTAAAAGCATTCAATAAGGCCAGATCAAATTACAAGTCAAAAGCACCACAACAAGACACTTTCCTATAAGCTATATTTGCTCATTCTGGGTTTTTTTCCCCTCACCCACCCCCTCCATCTAAGAATGTCTGCATCTGGCCCCATAGGATTAATTTTTTTCAAGTGGAGATTTTGAGATACCACAGATACCAAACATGTTACACTATGGTATAATTTAGAAGCTTCCACAGAGGTGCTCTGCTTGCTAATATGTGCACAGTGGTAATGAGTTCCTTAATGCAGTATATTTAATATTGTAGAGCAGTGATTCCAATTTGCTTTAAAGCCAACTATGTCAGCAAAGCTAGATTTTGAAATCCCACAGAACACATCTGTATCTTTTAAATGTCTGCTTCAGTGGTGGGTTCCTACTGGTTTGGATCAGTTGGGCCGAACCGGTAGTGGTTTGGCAGCCTGGGTCACTGGAACCGACAACAACCCAAGCTTGACATGCCCCTGAACTGCCATCTTGTTTCTTGCTTCTGCGCATGTGCAGAACAATTGTAATTGCACTGGGCATGCATGTGCAGTGCTCATCAAGCACACACGAAGCACCTGTGAGTGAACCAGCAGCAGTGACTGCTGGAACCCACTCCTGGTCTGCTTGCAAATGTGATTACAGTTTCTGTATTATGGCTTTGTTCATTCTGATAACTGGTATTCATTAGTCTTCTGCCTCTGCAATCAAAAGTGGGACCAATATGTGTGTGTATCTGTGTATCTGTGTATGTGTGTTGGAATTGGAATAAAATGAAATTCAATGGTGAAAAGAATAAGGTTCTACATTTAGGCAAGAAAAATGAAATGCACAGGTGCAGTATAGGTGTTACCTTGCTCAATACTAGTACCTGTGAGAGGGATCTTGGAGTCCTAGTGGACAACCATTTAAATATGAGCCAGC